TTTTTTCCCTTAACATTTAGACGTTCGCTCGTTTGCAGCGATCGAACGTCTAAAGCGCTATTTGATCTATCAAATGTAAAAATGACCCCGGCGAGAAGCGACGATCATTTTCGTCGCCAGGACTCGCGCGGGAGGAACAGCAAACCGGGGTTACCATCCCCTGCTCTTCGTAGGACAAATCAAGTGGCAGAGATCGGTTGATTTCACGTATCCCTCCCGTACCCTCGTCCGAGCGTAATAACGGACGGAGGGTATCCATCGAGAGCAATGGGGTGAACAGACTGGATGGTGGTTCCTCGGTTCAACGAGGGTTACAAAGAAAATATCATACACGAAGAGAATATTAAAGTTTTTTTTTTATATAAATTACCTTCAATTTTACTATGTTTCTAATAGTCCAGGAATAGATTATCAGTAAAAATAATAGATTGTCTGTCCTGCTAAGGAACATAGTAAACTTCACTAAATATGATACATTTTAATTTCTAAAATATAAGTAACTTATATTTCATATGAAATGAAAGGATAGTAATTATTATAGAATGTCGATCTATCCCTCAATTCTAAAATTCTATAGTAATTTTTACTATAAAATTCTCTTCATGTACACAGAACAAAGAAACTTTAATTAGATTAATATTTGGTGAAATATGAACGAACTAGAAAATTTTGACTGAAGTTACCAGAATTCTGTTCGAGCTAACAAGATTTCTAGTCAATCAGAAAGTTAAGTTCTAAATTTCAGCCGAAATTTTCTGGTCCGTTCATATTTCATCAGATATTTGGTTCTTCTTGCCGTGTATATAGTCCTATATGGCATAGAGCGTATAAGAAAGACTCGACGACCCGTCACAGATATCGATTCGAGTTGTTAACCTTGGAAGAGGAAAGTGATGGACCAAGTGTTCGCGTATCACTTAGGAACGGAAATCGGATGCGAGCGAACGGGGAAACTGGAGCGCGCGGACGAATTTAATTTTACTTGCGATAGTGAGAGATAACGATCGTCTCTCCGATTATCTTGCGGAGTATATAGCCGACCGAACGGAGTCTTCACTTATTTCACAGACAGCCGAGCAATATCCCTCCTTGTTCGCCACCTGACGATTGTATTTACGTCGCCAGCTTTTCTCGTATCGCCATTTCATTTTGTCATTTTCGCCGATTTCTCATTACTCGTTATCAACCGCCACCCGTGCCAACCCTTTACCTTATTGCGCTGTGGTGGAGTGCAGTCAACCAAAAAAGAATCTAATCCCAGTGCAGGGATGGACAGAGTGGAGGTGAGTAAGTGGGTGGTGCTATCGATTCGCTTCGCCGCGGCAACTCAAAACGCATCCCAAATGCGACGTCTAAAATTCGTCGCGCTCAATTTGCACGCGGGATTAGCTTCGCGAGAGACAGTCACCGGGCACTTTGTCGCGGCTTTATCATGAAATATTACGGCGGTTATGCTCGTAGCAGAAGTTATGTCGCAATGGCATAGTGGAGGAGTTGGAGTATGGTGGGCGTGAAAGGGAAGGAAAGAAAGGGGAAAAAAAACAGACAGAATATAAAATCGCACAAAAACGCAGATAACTGATCTCTTTTTATCCGCCGTTTGCCTTCAGAATGATCGGACGGATACAGTCAGACGGAGAATCGGCAATTTATCGCCGGCACGAAATCACGCGCTAATTCTACGTTTGCCGTCGGGCGATAGCTTCGCATCGTTCGCGAGAACTCGCAAAATTTCCTAGAGAATACGCGCGATGCAGAGAGAGAGAGAGAGAGAGAGAGAGAGAGAGAGAGAGAGAGAGAGAGAGAAAGAGAGGAACGAACATATTACCAGGATGGATTACAAAGCTCTCCAAATCGAAATTTAGATTCTACGTTAAGCCAGCAAATATCATCGAACTTATATGTCGATGTAGAATTCCTAGATATATAAATAGCGTTTATGCAGACTACACTCCTTTGACGCTATAGATCGTAATTTATTGCCGTTTCCTTCATGAAGGATTTAAAGGAGAGTTTGCTGAGAATATTTGCCCGAGTCGAAATTTGGATTCTGCATTGACTCTGCAAATTCCGTCGAACCTGAAGAGTCAATGAAAAATCTCCAGGGACTATTGGCTAGCTAACTCTTATATCTAGTCTCTTATATTTGGTCAAACGCCAGAACCTCATTAATGTTGCGAGCGCGGCTCTAAAAATATTCTCCGTGCTAAGCGGCAGATAAAATTACTCTGGCAGAATTCTATCGCGCGATTTAAGACTGCGAGTTATAGTTATATGAGACACGAGAGCTAAAGTGCTTCCACGTGTACGAGAAAGAAGCGCACGTAAACGCGAGACGGGGAGAAAAGCGGTGTAGATGGCATAAGTTGCGAGCGTTCGTTCCTTTTGCGTCTCTAGGGGAAAGAATAAATGTAATGACATGACTATCTTTCTTTGTTGCTTCTCAAATGAAATTTAGCTTGACGCTTTCTAGTTGCGCCAGTGTTTGATGTCACAATAGAAGATCGTCGACCAAAGTATAAAGTGCGTCCCGGAATGCTCGTAGGATAGTGTAATGAAAATAGAAACGAGTTGACAAGAGGCACCACTCGACCCGCGTGGGTGTTTCGCACGATAAATAGTTCTCTGAAACCTTAAATTTACTTAACGGGAGTTTACGCTCCGAGGATGGGACCGACGGAGCCGCGTTGTCTCTTTATTCGTGGTATCCAGCCTTCTCGCTTATTCAAGCGCGGCTTCTTGATTTATACTGAATTTATCTATTTTACGACGTGCCCGAATGATAAAATATGAATTATTAAATGGCTTTGCTGTCTCTCCGCGAACACGTCCCGTGTATTACATCTGAATTTTACGGGCAATAGTATTGTTCTCGCGCAGGATGTCGGACTATATCCGCTCCCCGGAAATCTAGTTTTCTCCATAAAAGCTTTGTAAAACGAACGTTTTGAGAAATTTGGCGGCAGAAAAAATCACGTGTCTCGACGAAACGATGTTACCTTTTTAATAATAAACTGCTCTGTTAGTTATATATATATATATATATATATATATATATATATATATATATATATATATAGAGAGAGAGAGAGAGAGAGAGAGAGAGAGAGTACGTATACCTGTACATGAGCAGAATGCAATAATCGATTGCGCTTCTGAGAACTTGGCAAGGTTTCCAGATCGCTGTCACTTACTTTTAGAGGCGAACACGAAAGAAACCTGTTTAAAGATTCATTACAGACATATCGATATTTCCGCGACTACGAGCTGCAGAAAACGATCGCTGTCCGACCTAATTTGTACGTAGCTGTAAGAACTTCTCCACTCGTTCGCGCAACACCCGCAACAAAGTCGCGCGGCCGAATTGGCATGATTTTCTGAAACCATGCGCTCGTTCATCAGTAAATCGATGCGAGGCAATCTCGATGTTGCATCATCAACGAATCGATCTGCATGATATTACGAGCGAAATTGAGAATCCGATTTACCGATACAGAGAGTTGTATCGCTAAAATATAGTAGATTAGCAATTTCCTATCAAATAGAAAATCAGGTAACAAACAACAAGATTGGATCAGCTGTTGTTATATGCTGTAACGTCATTTTATAAAGTAGGGAAACAACATTAAAAAATGAATATAATTAAAAGATTGATGAAGTTTAATTAAAACATAATAAACTTTGGTCTTCTAACCAAATTTTGCTTTTTAACTACAATTTAGTTTTTAGCTAAAGTTAAGTAAAACTTCCAAATGAATTTAGTTCTTAACTAAACTCTATTCATCTTTTAATATTGCTTTTATAATATTAATTTCTTTATGAATAAAGTTTAGCGTTTCAATTAAAGAATGGAGAAAGAATTGGAGTATAATTATCTCCCTGTCGATATTACGCTTATGCGAACGTAATTCATCCCTTGTATGGCTTGGATGCTATTTAATTCGTTATACGAAAGTTTTTCATTGAAATTTTTCGGCCCACAGCTGCAGCGACAGCGACGCTGACAAGGAACGCACAGCTCCAATCGTTTTTTTCCAACCCCGCGAATATCCGAGCTTATCGACTCCGGCGGATAAATCGCCGGACGAATTTGTGAGTGAAAGGAACGAGTAATGGATTTTCTAAGGACACAGAACGATGAGGTGGAAGGAATTAAAGTCTCGATTTGATCAATATCGTCCTTTCAACACCTCCACGTGCTCTGTGTAATTCCATTCCCAATAAAAAGATAATCATCGGCATGCCGCGGGACTCGCGTCTGTTTTGTTAGAATTTATATTAAGGTTCGAAGGGACACTCGGAAACCTGATCGACAGTAATTAGAAATCGTTTGGGACTTTGGCATGCACGCGCGCACGTCTCTGTGCGCTGCAATTCTTTTCATTATATCATGATTTTGACAACGTCAGAAAGGCTAATTAATTTCTTATCCTTATCCTGGATGAGTAAAATGACTCTCGATGAAGAAAAGAAGGCAGCAGTTGTACAAACAATCGGGAAAGACAAGAGAGATGAAATTACGTTTCCAACTTGAATAAACGTCCCTTTGGACATTCCGATCTTTTCCTATTACTTATTTGCCGATGTACGAACGAAATTGAGTTTTCACAAGGAAAGAAGAGAAAGAGAGAAAGAAAAAAAGAGAAAGGTCATAATACAGGAGAATGAAAACATTTTAATTCGAAATGAAAGCAACGGTCTTTACCCCAACGGCATTCCCTTTCCCTTTCCCGTTATGCGACTTTGTTCACTTTATGTTTTGATTGCGATTTCCATATTCCAAAAAATGTGGCATGAGCAAACATAAAATATAGCGAATATTTGATAAAAAATCACGTGGTTTATTAGCCCCGAGCAATTTCCGTGTTAAGGAAGATAAGATTTTCGCGTGATGGAAGATTTAATGGAAGATTAATCGAATATACCAATCACCTTCCGACAACGTGCCATTGCCACGTGACACACTTCGGATAGTTGATCGCAAAGTTTTTCGATTACAGGACACAATATTAGAAGAATAGCTATCTACACTCCCGAAGACGGGAAACTGATAATGAACTGTCCAGGATGTGCGCCTACAAGATGGCCCGGAGGGGGGCAAGTGCCAGCGGCTCGCAGGGTCTGTCGGTATGTATTACCGGCATTATCATTCTGAGCTAAAATTGAGTTATTTAATCGTTATTGAGTAGATCGAAACTTAATTGTCCAGACTGACGTATCGATAAGTCGACATTCAATTCGAGAGAGCAAACAGATCCAGAAAGGATAAGAACAATGCAAAGAAGTCAAGGGGGAGGGCACAGAACGATGAGATCAGTACTTAACGCTGCTGATGTGTGTGCTTTCATTATATCTTACAGACCGGATATGATTAATAATTGTGCCGAGTGTTGAGAAATTAATGATGTCGTTAACATTACACGAATAGATGACCGCGAGACACATCGCCAATCATTCCAGTCAAATATTTAGCCGGCTCAATTTGCGCCCACGTGCGTCAACAACATTTCCGTGTTGTAATTACAGCTCGCACCAAGTTAGCTTAATAACGGCGTGGCAATAGCGCCGCCAATTACAAGGTCGCGAGACAACACGTTAAAGTAATTTGCACATCATTCGATAACATCGATCTATAATATATAAACCGCGACCTCAGCGCGACTATGTGAGTGATGTGAGTTTTGTTGGTGCACGTAGATTACGAATGGTGACGATAGCTCCCGCTGCATTTCTCACCGTCACCTGCATCGCCAGCGTCGGCGTTACCTTAGCTCTCGCTTTCTTGGCCTTTAATCTCCACTTCCGCAAGCACAAGTAAGCTTCTTATTCAGCGTAACGGACCGAGTACAACGGAATCGAGTCAGAAACACGTGGAGCACATCGCATAAAAGCATGAAACTCTCAGACCCAGTATTAATAGTTATTACATGAAACTTGTCTCACGCGAGATAGTCTTAGGTCGGAATTCAAAGTTAAATCTTGAGGTTTTTAGTCGAATCATATGATATACGCGATATTATACTTGCAATCGCGATTAGAGTGAAAAGTTCATCAGTACATCTGACTCTAAATTCGAATTCAAATATTTTATTTAAAATAAATTTCAGGTAATGATTATTCATACGAGCCTGAGTGGTGTTTGTCGAGATGTTTATCAAGCTCGAGTTTATTTGACGCCGACGTATTTCCCCATTAAATTGCCGATACGAAACAATAGACAACGATAAACCCTTTTTGCAACAGTAAACGGTTATTTTACTAAGTTTGAAAACAATATAAACTGCAATTTAACGATCGGGGAACGAATACGGCTCGTTCGTGGAAATAATACTTGCCATCGACGAATCTCTATGCAAATCGTTACGATAAATCACTCAAATGCATTATTCTTCGATATTGGCAGAAGCATAAAACTTTCAAGCCCGAGGCTGAATAACATGGCTGCTGTTGGTTGCGGCCTGGTCTACGGTGCTGTAATACTTTTGGGACTGGACGACGCCACGCTACCCGACAGCGATGGTTATTATCCTGCAGTGTGCACTGTAAGCATTAACCATCCATTATGAGGAATATTAACGTTCTCGATGACGTGATCAATATTATCAGCGTCAATCGGGCTTACATAATGCATGCTAATTATTGCCGTTCACACGTGTGTGCAAGTTTCTTAATTAAATGTTATATAAACAGAACTTTTGATCTCCTCCAACCCCGGAGAGTCTTGAAACTATTAAAGAGATGCGAGTTGAACTTCTTTCGAATGGCATCCGGCAAATCAAATTGTAAACTTCATTAAGTGTAATGAGCAAACTGCCGATATAGAACATTATGGGAATGTGCACGGGTCTCGTAGAAATGATTGTGTAACAAGAAATTTCATATTTTTTTTGGCGTGATGAGACGACTTGCTTTCATGTTGTTCTAATTTTGTGAAACAATATCACGAGTCGAAATTTTGATCCTATTTTCAGCCTCGCTATCCCATTCAACACCTATTTTGACGCTAAAAAGAGTAAAAAGTGAAATTTTTGACATCATAAAAGTCAAAGTAGGAGTAAATTATATTATTAGAATTAAACCTACTTTGCTCTATATATAACTTAGCAAACTCCTATTGCGTTATAGAATTTAAGGTTCAACACAAGGTCAAAATTTTGACTTAAAATATGCATGAAAAATCGCAGAAGATTGCAGATCGAAACGGTGCATACGTTGTTTTATCAAATACCAACGACATAAAATTGTGAACGTTTCATATTTTACCTGAATAATCCGAAATCACATATCGCACAACCGAATATTTCTTCGGCGCGTGCTGCAAGAAGAGTATTATATCTTGAAACGAACGAGACGGGCGTTCGTTCTTCGAAGACGAGAGTTTTCCGAGCGGAACGTCACGCGCTTTTCTCTTCATCTGCAGGCGAGAGTGTACTTATTGTCGGCCGGATTCTCCTTGGCTTTCGGCTCAATGTTCACAAAGACGTATCGAGTGCACAGGATCTTCACGAGGAGCCGAAGCGGCGTCGTCAAGAACAAGGTTGGTCGACGCGCGAACAATAATTTTCCACCCACGTCCGTGGCATGTATACGCGATCAAATGCGAAACCAATATTTGCGCCGCTGGAAGTTACGCTTTTGCGCTCGCGGAATCGACGCTTCACCGACGGACACACATAAATCGCAGTTATCGCTTTCCAGCTGCTCCAGGACACCCAGCTGATAAGCTTGATCTGCGTGCTTCTACTGATCGACTGTCTCGTGGTGACGCTGTGGGTGACTCTGGATCCGATGCAGCGTCACCTGCGAAACCTGACGCTGGAGATCAGCCCGCAGGATCGAGGAGTCGTCTACCAGCCGCAGGTAAGTCCGTATTAGACGAAGGCGCGACGAAGGTTTCTCCGGCGAGCTTTCTGGCGAGCTACGGCTGAATGTCACGACTGGGCCAGTAATTATCGTTAACGAGTCGTGGCCAATTAACTTGTGCCTTTATTTGCCTTTGCAGGTGGAGGTGTGCCGTTCGCAGCACACGAACGGCTGGCTGCTCGCTCTCTACGTTTACAAAGGTTTACTGCTGGTAGTCGGGCTCTACATGGCTTGGGAAACGAGGTAAGCTTCGGGGATAAAGACGTCTCCAAGTCCGCGGGCACCCTGAAGCGAAAACCGCTAGGCTCCCTATACCTCTAATAGAGATAATCTGCTGCATATTTCATACCGGTTCGAAGCGAACCAGACATTAGTTTCTTGCGTATCCTCGCGTAATCCCCGCGGGGAGCGCGTTATACGGCGCGATCTCACCTTGCTTATCGCTTTTCTCCAACTATTCATTAAATAGTTTGAAGAAAATTGCTCGTTACATTTCGCTCACGTGTATCTTCCGGGTCGTGGCACCGCAGCTTGATACCATTACGGAGATACATCACGAGTGTGTCATTGGCGGTTTCAGGCACGTCAAGATTCCAGCTCTCAACGACTCGCAATACATCGGCATGAGCGTGTACCTCGTAGTGATCACGTCGGGTATCGTCGTTGTATTAGCCAATCTGATGCCCGACCGCGCGACCTTAGCCTTCGTCACGATCACTGCTCTGATCCTGTCCTCTACGACGGTGACCTTGGCGTTACTCTTCCTGCCACAATTGGCGAATATCCTCGCGGGCGAGAGGGCCGATCCCGTCGTGCAGAGTCTCGGCCTCAAGATCGAGTGTAATACCCGCAGATTCGTCACCGACGACAGGAGGTAAGTAACCGAGGAGAATCAGCCCTAACGCGAAACGGAGATGGAGAACGGAGGTGGAGAAAATAGAAAATTAAGAACAGCGCGACGAAGACGGTAAAGTACGGTAGCGTCGTTCGGCACGGCGATAAGGGAGTTCCACTTCGTGGCTAATCGGCCGAGCGGATCGACCTCCAGACGATGTCCCTCGTCCTGCCTACGCGCTGGAATCCCCCTGATGTCGGGAGGAAAGTTACGATTTTCCCGATTTTCACCCGTCGAAACTGCCTACCTCGAAGACGATGACTCCGCCAATCGCTCCCGAGGCGATCGAGCTCCCGAGCCGCGTCATTTAGTCGCGACTCGCTCCTACAACATGGGGAAATTATATCGAGTTCTCGTTATTTTCAAATGATCTGAATTTACCATACGTATTTGGCTAATACTCTTTCTCACGTATAAATTCGACGTACAAATCTCCCCAAATAACGCGCGATAATTAACGCTAATTCAATCACGATGAGATTAGGTGTCGTGCAAAGATACACGAGAGAGTTGACGAGGTGCTTGTGTCTGAGTGTAATCGTATCTTGGTGACAGAGAATTACAGTATCGCGTCGAGGTGCAAAACCGAGTTTATCGTCGTGAGATGGCACAGCTGGAACTGGAATTGGCCAGATTGGAGAAGCAACTGGCGCAGGAGACGGTGGAGCCGTCACACGGTTCATCAAGCGCCTCGATCCCACAACGAAATCCCAGCATTGGCGGTGGTCTACCCCTGTTATTGCTTAGTGTTCTGCCACCGGTTATTCCCCGTGCTAGTTGGCCATCCGCGGATTCGTCTGGTGAGTGTAAATAGATCATGATGTAGATATATGGATAGATATTCGTATGTGAGCGAAGGACACTGTTCCAATCTTCGCAGCGTGGAAATTCATCTCTTTAAGAAGTCGGTTTATCTTTTGTTTATTGAATTAATCTGTCTGTCTCTCTCTTCCTCTCTTTCTCGCTCTCTTTCTCCCTTTCTTTCTCGCTTTTGAAAGACAGAGAGAGAGAGAGAGAGAGAGGGAATGAGATGGTCCGATAGATTGCAACAACGATAAAAGTTACCGAATGTCTTCATACATTATAAAAGAGATGAAATGGTATCGAACAGCTACTGGGGCGCGCATTTCGTATTGTATAATGCCGCGAGAAACGGTGAACTGGCTTTTATCCGTGAGAACTTGGAAGATCCGTACTGATCCTGCAAAAGAGAGTGACTGGAGCTTTCTTCGTCGAAATAGATTATCTATTAAAGGCATGAGAGCGAAGTTTTTAGCTATGGAAACGTAAGAGCGTCAGGAACGTACGTGCCAAAAGACGCGAGCGATAGATTATCGGAACGAAAGCGAGGAGACGAGAATAGATGTCCCGAAACTCGTACGACGAGTCGAACTTTGCCGGCGGGAGAGAAGGAAGGAACCATAAGTATTAATGCTTTTCTCGCTCCGCCGTTTTTCCGTCGATCAGATGTCCGAGAAAGGTGACAGAAATCCCTGTATTGCACGTAATTGCCTGAAAAACATTTTTCCCCACGTTCACTTGCCTGAGTTAAAACGTGGGAAGAGAGTTCGAGTTCTAGCAGATCGTTAGCGTAGAAGGAAGAATATCTTGTTTAAACCTTGTTCGAAGTTCCTCTTGTATACTTTAAGATGGATTGGAGTGTTTTTCAAATTAGATACACACGAAGAAGCGACTATCGTTACTTTTCTCTTTTTTTAAAAGCAAACATTTGCATGTGCAGATTCGGATGTTTCGATTGTTTTTGCAAAAATTTCGACAATAGTGCGTTAATGGTTTACTATAAAAATTCTATATGAATATTTTGTATTTAAGAAGCTTTGTATCTAACGCAAGGAGAGTGTCTGAACAAATTAAAGTAGCCACGAACCATTTGATAGAATTTTAGAGATATCAATTTTAGAGACCTCCCCCTGCGTCAAAATTTTGGTTCTATATTAATTCTGCAAATATCGTTAAATTTGAAAGATTAATAGAAAATTTCGTAATGTAAAATACTATCCAGATTATTGATGCTACAAATGATTATTTACTGCCGTTTCCTCCATGCTCAAACTTAAATAACGCTTAATTAAAAATTACTTAATACTTGATTATTACAATATTCTATATGCATTCAAACTTTATTCTTAATTTCGACAAACAATATATTAATTTTGTAATTTGCTCTTGACAATAAATAGTATGTTAGATAAATAAATAATAAAAATAATTTAATAAAAATTGAATTATGAATCGGTAAAAAAAGCAACAAATTTTTATTCTCATAAACTTTTTGTTTTTTTTTCGTTGTTTGGTTAAAATTTCGATGGAATTTGAAGTTCTTCAAAAAGCTTATAAAAAAAGCTATCTATACATTAAATTCTAAGACTGGTATTTATAGTTCTGGATTATTTACAACCTGTGAATAAAGCCACAATTTTATGTGTAGGGATTTTATATCAATATTATCTTATCTTAATATTTCTTATCGTACAAATATTATAAGTGAAGAAAAAATCAGTGGTTCAGGAAAGATATGATTATTAATCAAATGATAACGGGGGAAGGGAGTAAATGTTGGCCTTAGAGTAGATGTTTAATTTTTACTCAGGAGATATCTCCTTAGTCGTAATAATTTCGTCGAACGTCCGTTAAAATTGGAGACGTTTCGCATAATAAATGATTTCCACATACCTGGAAATATATCACTGTCTGCGTCCTGGAACCCTACGTTCTCCATCCTGGTTTATCAATTTAACATCCTGCTTCTGGTTGCTCCATGATTCCGGAAACTCACTAGAACTGACACTCGCGTAGATACGTATTTTAACATACTCGATGTCGAGAATCCGATTACCCTTTACAATCCGGGAAACTCGTATAGTGGCGCAGTAATTTGGCAGTAATTTTATTTTGTAAAATATAACTACAATTAATTAATTATCATTATTATTTACCTTTTTTCCCATACAAATTAGTAAAAAAGAACTTAAAAACATATAAAAATTTAAATAATTTTTTAAATAAAAAATTTAAAGAAGAATAAAATATAACGCAAATATATATTTATATCATATAAATTTTTAATGTTTTGATAATAAATTTATGTTGTTTCATGACTAATACAAAATAAATAAATAAATAAAAAGTTTTTGTACAATTGAATAAGAAAAAAATCAATAAGTTATTAAAAATAAATGCACCAATATATTTTTTTATACTAATATATATATATATATTTTTTTTTGTTTTGTTTTAATAACATACTTTTATATAAATAATATAAAAATCTTTTTCTACAAATAATAATAGACATATTGTTTTATATTTTTTCTTTTTTCTTATTGTTAGATAGATACAGAGAGACAATTTGGTGATTCGATCTACATGCATTAAATAAGAAAAAAGTCAATTTGAAAAAATGGTTGCTTTACGATCCGAGAAGCCACTGGTACGGCAGGGATGTTTTTTACTCATATTTTTTACTAATCTATCCTTTCACATATATGAAAAGTTCTAGTTCAACCCTTATAGAAATATCATACTAAAAATCATTGATAATTACTTATTTTCAGTATTAAAAATACTGGATAATAAGTAATTATCAATGATTCTTAGTATGATATTTCTATAAGGGAAAGATCATAAAATTCGTTTAAAAACCGTCCGAACTGTGAAGGTTAAATACTTCAAAGACTGGCAAAATATTTGAATCAATCGACAGTAATTATAAACAATATAACGATAGGTCGCGGTATGTTGCTTGTCGATTTGGAACTCGAAAAGTACGTAACACCCGGGAATACAAAAACGATTGACAGCTTCAAAAGGGCAAAGTCACCTTCCACCGATTGCGAACTATTGTCGTCCGCCATTCAATGATAAGCACATCTGGGGACCGAGAAATCACAATAATCAACATTTTTAAAATATTTCAAACCTTCGAAATAGTTAAATTATTAAAATGTCAGGACGATTACACGCGCAGTACATTTAAAAATACTCTAGAATTTGACAATCGTGTCAATTAACGTGCATCATTAGTTTGACGTCGCGTTTCCGATTGACACGCACCTTCATGTAACACCATTGATTGTCTGTCCAACGTGACCAAGAGCTGACTGCAAAACGGATTACAGGACGCATGATGTAACGGTAGTCGGCGACAAGGTTCATGACTTCTTCCTTGTCATCTATTTTGAATTACCACATTATATCGAAATTTTTAACACCAGTAAAATAATATAATTACAAAAGAAGATTGTTTACTGTTCTATTTACTCATTCATACATTAATATTGATTAGATTATTTAATTAGATTACTTTCTTATTGCAAACTCTATCTGCAGTTGCATAAACTAGATAATTAATGCATTGCTTACTGAAGTTAGAAATTAAGAAAAGTTAAATGCAGATAGATTATTGAAATAATCGTGTATTAAAAACTTTTAGACGAGTCCTTTAAGTTTCGACTAAACAACGATAAATATTCTTCTGCAGCATCAAAAGATAAGCTGTATAGTGTTATACCTCGAGTTACATATTTTGATATCTCCATTAGTCACCTTCAAGTTCAACGAAATTTGCGGAGTTAATTGATATAAAACGAAAATTTCGACTCGAATTGTTCAACAATTGCAAAAGGTTATATGAAGTAATATAGTTTCAGCGTTATTCAATTTTCAGAGAAACAAATTCCGTTTTAATCGTTTTAATTAATCTATTTTTTACAAAATACACGCAGAGATAAAGTATAATTATTAATCAATTATTAATCGCTCGTACATATATCGCCGCGCCAGCACGCGACGCACACGTTTGTAATTGATCTATTTATTTCCACCTTTTGCCCGCGTCAAAAGAAAATTTCCCCGGAAAACTCCCGGCCATTGCCATTTGCAGTGCAAATACCACACATTTCGTTCACGAAATATCCGCCTCTCGACTGTCGCGCGCATGTATATTTACGCTCCGGTAATTCCGTAACGAACGCCACATGACGAATACAAGACATGTATCGAGTACTTCGTGTCCTGCATGTACCAATTAACGTCCACGTCCAACTTGACCATCATTGTGAGAATATCGCCGGTATTATTAGCGTACGAAGTGCCCGCCAACGCATTCGGTGTGCTCCTGATATATCGATTCGGACCGCGTTGCACTCGCATCTCCAAAATCCCGGATCTCCTTGATGACTCCGGACAATTCGGCGCATAAGTACATACGTTGAGGTACGCGTCTGCACGCCGACTGCACGTTCCACCCCAATATTTCTGAATGTGTACCGTGACTGATCGAAGGAGGTCAAAGGTTGCGCGCCGTTATATGTGCATGTATGCACACCGGATGCCCCATCGCCGGAAAATAGTTGTATCGTGAGAGTTTTCTAAGGAATTTTCGCAAAGTGAATTTTTCCCGAGAAAATTTCGACCATGCGACTCTCCAAGGAAAAATCCCCGCGCGTTTTCCCTTTCTTCATATAACTTGATTCGGATCTTAATATAAATTTAATTCAACCGGCACCTGCTGACACTACCATGTGTACGGGAAATGTCGGTGAAAATATAAAAATTTTATTGGGGAATTATATATGTATCGGGGAACTGTATATATATATCCTCCGCGCGCTGGATAATGAGATACCCGGCGATACATCCGTACATCGTGCAAATTACATATATGGTATACATCATATATGATATACCCGTCACACATCTATCCTAGCATCCGTGCGCCAAACTCAAACAACGAAAGTATCGACGTATTACCGATCTGCTGTTACATCGTTGTTACAGCGAATTGTTCATGACATGTCAAACTAACAAAACTTTTGTCACCGCTTGATTGATAAACAAACGTTATAAGCTGAGTTGAAGATTTGAGTCATGTCACATCCAATTATGCGTTTTTGCATAATCGCAGCTTGCGATACGATCCCTTGAATCTTCAGCTATAATTAGAGCAGAAATTTCGAACAACGTATAGAAATTTAGCAGAAGTGACTTTTCAGCTTATTCAGCTCAAGGACGTGGACAGAGTTGACAAAGGGAGAATATTCGTGTAAACAGAAATATATACCATGTTTTTGTTGCGAGAAAAATGTATACTTTCTCTCCTTCCTCTTCTATCAAAGGCGAATTTCATATCGAAGCCGTTGTCGTGCGGATAGCAAGTTTACAGCATGTAAATGCTGTAAATATGCTGTAAATTACAAATAAAACGAAATGATAAATAAGTCATTACGGCCTATTTATATAACAATACTATCATAAATGGAAAATAAACAATATAGTGTTTGTTCAGGTGTTCTCATGAAATTGTTGTGATAGAGATAGACAGACAAGCCAGTCTCTTCCGTGTAACATGGAATATTCCCTGCCATGGTTACAGATCGATTTATGACTCGCTTACGCATAAATGTCGCCTAAATTCACACACGCTTATGCTTACGCAGACTACATGTCCCGACGATTAGGTAGAACCCAAGCCTCAATAATCGCGCGTCCATCATAATGATCGCTCGACATGGGGTTTCGCGTCATATACGAGTTAGACCTTGTTGAAATTAGGCATTCGTCGCGGTACCGTAGCATTTAGCAGTCAGCCGGATCTGGAACCGGACGATCCCAGGCAGAGCCTGGCGGACCTTTACAAGCTGCACCGTCGCAGAGAAACCGAAGGACCGAATCGCTTGGGCGTTTTTCAACGTCTCTTCAGTCTCTTCGGCAGCAGACCGAGTAGCAGAAAAACCTCCACCGCATCGTTCACCGGTAAGAAAGTGTCGAAGAATAAAAGAATAAAAATGCTTCAATTTAAGATGTAGCTTGTAATTTAAGATTGAAAAAATACAAGATGCTCCAAAATTATCTATTATTATGAACTATAATAAATACGACTCTATATTATTATCTATTATTATATTGCTCAGATATATTAAAATCAAGGATAATTTTATTCTTCTGCTTGATTACTTCATTTTATTTTAATTGCGTTTTATAACAATTAAGCGATCCAAATTTGTCCAACCTGCTCGGCTTTTGCAGTTAATCTATTATCACAATTTGCTGACAGATTTTCTTGTATTTCTGCTACCAAACAGTCGAAAAAATTTACAGTAGATACTGCGTAAAATTAGTTTCTGCAGATTTGGCTATCTGGGATTTTGTATATGACACGTGATATTATAGACAGTCACGTTTCAGTCACATAATTTGTATTTAATTTTTAACTTCCGCGCGTTTTCTATAACTTAGAAATATATTTAACATTTATTACACAGCTACGATGACCCGCTTGTATTACATTCATTAGGGGTCGCATCGGCGCTTCGAGTCCATATGGGTTACATCGCCGGTTTAGTGCCTGGCACGAAGGCCGCCTCTACTTGCCAGGTGGATGCCCAAGACACCCACTCACCTCATGCACGATGCGGTTCAGGACCAATAATTAGTATTACAAGCGAGGAAGATCGTAGATTGAGCCTAGGGCTACGTCGTAAGGAAAGTAGCGAGCCTCGAGTAAATTTCAGTCTACCGCCACGTGAGTAAATGTATAAAGCTGTAGAGAACTTCAACATTTTATATTCTTAAATCAAGTATAATAAGAAGTATAATAATATAATATAAAAGTATAATATATAGTATATATAATAGTCTTAATATATTCACATATTCTCTTTTTCGCATAATAATATTAAATATACTGCTACAGTAATGTTATATAGTAGTGTCTAAATATGAACCTTCTCGCGAATTAAAACTCGGCATTAAGATTCAATGAAAAGATTGTAATTCTTCCAACGAGAGGTCTTAGGGAAAGTTAAATACCTTTTATATGAATAAATGCATAAAGAAGTCCCGATATGAAAAAGTTCGAATCTGAATAGCTATAAGGCGAATTGCGTTATTTTAACATTTGTGATGGAATAAATTTACAGAGATGAGCACAAGTCAGTCATCCTCTCGAGAGAAGATACGCGGATCGCCTCGGTTTCCTCATCGAATAATCCCGGCGAACAGTTTGAGTGCTATCGCGCAGAGTGCGTTGATTACAAGACCGCATCGTTGGCATTCGATGGAAGATGCGACGAAACCGAAAACCACTCAAATACCATCTCGCAGCTCTTGCAGTCCCAATTTTGACGTGTGGGCCACGAGTAGGGTTGGGGTACCTCTCAGCGAATTCGCCAATACCGCCCGCAGTAGAAAGCCGCCGGATTCCTTAGCCCTGACCATCACCATGGACTCGAAGATGAGTCCAGTCGATACGAGACTAGGCAGCGACTTGAGAAAGCTGTTCAGGGAAAACGACAGCCAGGAATTGGTCAGTCCCGCCGAATGCGAGTCGAAAACTGCCCGGTCGAGTTCATCGTCCTCCTTGTCACAGAAGGCAATCGGCGTCGCGAGCAATTCTATGTCCTCAAAGAACGATACTACATCGGAGGCTCGACATGACGCCGGCTCAAACTTTTGTCAAGAATCGAAGCCTCGTCCATCGAGCCCGATGGTGTCAGTGATCGATGTAGATAACCCAGGGGAGGAGTCGAACTCTGATGCCGATAATCACGTCGGTGCTTCCTACGTGGAGAGGAGGCCGACCGCTGTGTAGTGTGATACACCGTGTGCACGTGTTTAAATATGAACCTTTGAACTATCTTTGAACTTGTCTAAATGATGAAGCTGTCGGTTAAGAGAGACGATGTTGAGAGAATAACTTCCAACAGCATTGATTTTATCGCGTTCCTCGCGCAGCATCGATTAACGACGTCGGGAGGAGGAAAATGGGATAACGATTCTATTAAAAGTTTGTAATTATTGTAGCCGCTTAGACAATCCATGGGTCAAATTATAAGACACGTCTATTTAGATGTTTCGTGTGATAGACAGAGGAAGATTATCATGTCAGTGTAACGAAGAACTTAGGAATACATTATCGACTTGCGACACGTCTTCGCAACAATCCATGTATAATACATGAAAATTTACGATAACACGTTAAAGTATAACGTCTGTATTAAGTAGCTTTGAATTAATATTTTAAGGAGCCGGTTATAGAACTTCAGATAGAGTCAATTCGTAATCCGGGTTTAAACCCAACGAACTAATGATAATGTTGCTATTAAGGCTCCTGGTTCCACTGCTGCGGATTGATGACGTCAGAAGCGAGAAAACGTACGTCAAAAATTCCTGCGTGCTATTTCCAAATAAAAACATATTTGCACTTCAGATCGCTTGAACATACCTGTAAAATGATCCGAAAGATATCTTTGTCCCGTGGAAATCAATAAATAATCCTAAAATTAACTTGCAGTCCCTTCTTCATTAGCCTATCTTTCCTGATGCTTTTGCCACGTTAATTTTAAGACTACCTATTGATTTTCAAGGGTCAAGTTTACGGAGCATTTTACAAGTATGCTCAAGCGATTTGGTGTTTTTACATGCAAATATGTTCTTGTTTGAAAACTGCACAAAAGAACTTTTGGCATGCGTTTTGTTGCTTCTGACGTCATCAATCCAAAGTATCACAACAGTGAGATCAGAAGCCTTAAGAATTGCCGTCATAATTAGTTATTCATTAAACAATGTAACTGAGGGTAGCGAGTCGAAAGCTGTGTGCAGTGGAACGCTATAAAATCGGTACTGTCAATGCCTCTGAGGAGGAACATATGGATATAGATCATCAAAAGAAAGAGACAATATAGACAACCGGCTTAACGCGTTAACTTTATTCGCGCCCAATTTGACAAATTAATAGAGTGTGATTGTGCGAGAACTCCATGAAGTTGCGTTGCGTGTGAATATAGATTTCTCGTTCCCAATGCCCAAATGCGAGGATCACGGACCAATCGCAATATAATCTCAATCATGTGTGTTCGTTAGTAACTGTGCCAAAAGAAAAGCAAATTAGGACTCGTAAGGGTGTACAACGTTTGTCTTGGCGGATCGTAAATGGGACCAACGCTCACGATATCCTTCCTTTCGAGTGTTTTCGTTTCTGGCGAAGTAATTTCAATCATTTCGATCCGACGTGAGTCGTCATAAGAAAGATAATGAGTGTCGCGCTAATAATGACAAGGAGAAATAAGAAAAACGAAAGTACAGAAAACGCCGACGTCCTACAAAATGTTTAACTCACGATTAATTGCACTCATTAATTATCCGAATATTTAGGATACTTCCGCAAAACCGAGAGATAACTCTCAAAGCGTTTCAGAAGACAAACCATGAATATCCTTACGGGGCCACAATCAAAGTGTTCAGTGCCCCAAACCTTTTCTCTAATATGCGTTTCATGTGAAATGAAAATATATCAGTTCGAAGTAAAACGACTTAACGTAAAAACGCCATGTTTTGTTTGTAAAATGTGATGTTGATTGAGACATACCGATATTTTCATGCCACCGAGCACTAACGTATATATATCGTAATATATATAAATATATATTACGTAATAATAATAAATATAACGTAATATATATAAATATGTAGATAAAATAAATATGGCAAGGACATATCCATGCGAAAGGATTTCCTTCCGAAATCTTGCTATCCGATTAATTTCGTTATTCGGATATCTCGATGTGTCAATCATTAAAACTTTATCAACTAAGGAATAATAAGCATTGTCTGTGCAAATGAGAATGATAATAAAGAACTATATATTCTATCCATCTTATCATATTGTGTGTGTAGATATCATCCATATCCGCCCCATAACCAGCAATCCTTCAATAACAAATGAACGATATATGAATATACCACTAATATGAATATATCATTAATATTCGAGAGATCTTTATTCTTGTATGATACAAATTATACGTATATTACAAATTATACGATTAAGAACTAGTGGTATAAAATGACATTAATCTATAAAACAGAATAACTATTTACATTATCTTATGGTATATCTTATAGATTGACGTACATAGAATTTTTATTAAAATAACACTCATATGTCTTAAACACGTATATAAAATTATATATATATATATATATTATAATGAGTTTTACTGTAGATAAACTTCTAAAATAACTTCTAACTTCTAACTTCTTAAATAAATTCTTAAATAATTTTTTAAATAAATTTACAATGAATTATAATATAAATGACAAAGTCTTTTAAAAATCTATATAAGATATCCTATCACTACCATGAAACACTTAATAGCAGATTTCTGAAGACATTTTGAAATAAGATTATAATACAAAATATTAATATCTTTAACACGTTCGCTATCAGCGTCGCACACACACACATACACGCACGCACGCACGCACGCACGCACGCACACATACATATATATATATATATATATATATATAACGATAATTATATATTATATATATATAACGATAATTATATATTATATATATATATATATATAACGATAATTGATAACGATAATTCTTCTTTCTATTCCATATAAAAACAAATTGTTCGTTTTACATTATATTACATAAAAAGAAATACAGAATGAGCTTTTGGAATAATTTCCCAAATGAATCATCGATTCATCAGCGAACGTGTTAAATGAAAACAGTTTAAAAAAAATCACTTACCCACGAATATAATATAATCAACTATCTTATCCTACCTTATTATAGAAACAAAAGTAATTTATCGATTAATATTAATTTGAACGAACTTTATGAAAAGTCAGGTTCATATATGTCTTACATGTCCTTGACAACGCATATCGCGCGCCAGCATCTTATAAGATTTCTACACTGCAAAATTATCGCAAAACTATATGATCAAATTTATCTAAGTGAGCGAATTTTGGACAGATCAATTATTTTGGCTGTCAAATTATCTAGCTAATAGGTACGACATATATATAACGTATATATAACATATATATAACATATATATATATATATATATATATATATATATATATATATATATATATATATATGTATAACATATATAAAGTATACAGAATTAGATTACTTAAAGACAACAGTATTAATAGAAGGATTATTGTATCTAGTTATGATATCTAATGCATACTTAATCTAATTTTAATATCCTCTTAATACATATACATACACACACACATATATGAACTATGAAATCGTCATATTTTTATACAAAAACATCTAACATTATGTTACTTAAATTATTTCCTAGAATATATGAGGAATATTATACAAAATAAATATAATCTCGAATAATTTTGATTATATATATATATATATATATATATATATATATATATTTAGGATATTTTATGTTTCCATTTTCGATACTCTCATAAAGATTTAATTATTGACAGTTATTGTTAATTGAATAAATAAAATCATGTCACCTGTAGATAAGTATCGAGTCTCGTGAAACTCGAGTATCGTGAAACTCACGTGTCACCAAGATATGAATAACGTAGTGATTTAAATGTTAAGATTAGGTTTCTTAAAATTATTATTATAGGCTCGATACTTTCATGTCAGAATTTTCATCTCAAAATGCTCTTAAGAATCTGCCACTCATCTATGTCACGGTAGTGATGGAATATCGTTATAAACGTAATGAAATATTGATTGTAAAATCAATCATATGAAAGAGAGGACATAATTAACAATCTTGAACCATAACAACTAATATAATACATAATTTTCATGATATGAATCTATGATACAGCCAATATACATACATACATACATATATATATTTATATATATATATATATATATATATATATATATATACATACACGTATATATGATATGTATATATGTATGTATGTATGTATGTATGTATGTATTTTGAGATAAGTCATCAATTTTTTGTCAATTCAGTACCTTAGCTGTTTCAAAAGAAAGATATGAATTATTAGTACTAATTAGTAATACAGATAATAGAAAAAACGCACAATTCAATAATACAATGTTCTGTAATAACAATTAATCAACGAGAAAAAGATAATGCATGAGCGCGTAAATATACAGACGAGAATTAGAATTAAAATTAATAAATGCATTATATTACAAAGTTATATATTTTATTCCACATGTTTTTCATCCAATGTAATTATATCGCCGCCTAAAAATAGTTAACGCATAGTTAACATACAATTTTCATACTAGTTTTCAATAGTAATACAAGGGAAAGATTGTTGTATTAATATTCGCAATGTAGCTCACACTAATTTTTCTTCCGTTTACATTAATTTCTGATTATTACTTTTAATCTTTTTATAGTAATTTATGACGAGTTCAACTACTTACGTTAAGTTTTTCTAGGATTGCTTCCACCGGTTTATCTCGCTTTATAGTCACCTTTGGACATTTTGGGACACAACTTTCCTTATTCTCTTCCGTGTTTGACTTCTTTTCCGGACTCCTCAAAGCGTTTCTCGCCTCTATCCTCTTACGATTCAAAAAAGCCATACCGTGTACTCTCAGATGTTTGTCAACCGCAGCTTTATCCTCAAAAACTGCCATGCAAACGTAGCACTGATTAGCTACTGTTGTTTTCCCTTCCACCATTAAATCGTTATACGCATCAGGAGCATAAGAGGAATTTTGATTCATGTAGCTGATAGGATCTTCTATTCCGTGAAAAGCTTTGAGATGCATCTGCAAGCTAGGCGCGACCACAAAGTTCTCGCCACATTCTAGGCATATCAGGTAAAGGCCTTTCAACCTGTGATTAGCAGCAATGTGCTCTCTTAGATCGGACATGTCAGTGCATCGTTGATCGCACTTTTTGCACTTGAAGTTACCTTCACCGTCCTCCGCAGTCTCCTCTTTCACACACAACCCTACCTCAGGCGTACTCGTGTCCTTTGTCTCCGTATGTTTTTTTGGTAACCGGCGCTTCCTCTTCGCTGTAGGTAAAGAAACATCAGACTTTCGCTTTTTATTACTCAAAAGTCTCTTGTAATATCTCCTATAATCAACCGGTAGCCTCTTTAAACGCAGAGTGAGTGCCGCCAATTGATATTCACGCGAATGATTCTCAGTATAGTGCGTCCGCACTACGGGCCAAGAGGTATTGATCCTTTCGTTGCATATGTGACATAAGAATTCGATATATTCCTCTTGCGTATCAGTTGATTCGCATATGGCAATGCGTCGTCTTTTTTTAGCCACTCTTCGGGAAAGAGACGTTGACCTCGCAACGTTTCTTGATTTACACGCCTTCTCGGTTTCCCTATAATTAAGTATATGTTGTGGGATCCTGGCAAGCGGAGGAGGTTTCGGGATGACATCGACTGCATTTTCATTTTCAGGCTGTTTATCGTACAGTTCCTCAATAAACGGTTCAATGTTTGGTTTACATATTTTCCTGATATCAATCACCTTTATACGTCCAGTTGTACTTGTTTTGGATACAAGCTCAGAATGTGAAATTTCTTTACTTGTTTCGGTAAATAAATTTATACAAATGTCATCTTTTTGTAGAGATTTTCTGGTTTCATCTGCATATGAAGCGATCGATTCGTCGTTACATTTGCCAGGTTCTAACTTTTTCGCCTTTTCGCTAATATCAGATTTGATGTCATCTATTATTATTTTTTCCGTATCTCCAGATGATAAGTCTCCTTTTTCATATATAGTTTTAATTACTTCAGATTCAGCAGCAGACTGAGATGTGGTTGCTTTTAAATCAGCCATTGACCTAACATTGAGGATTTTTGGTAGAGAGTCTACTTTTTGTGTTTTTTGCGAACCGGTGTCAGGCATAATAATAGATGTAGATTCGTTGGAATTTGTGGGCCATGTACCGTGGGAACCACGTTCGAATATTTCCGACGAAATAGTTTGAGTATTTATGATCTTAGGTATTACAGTACCGTCTTCACTTGGAGCATTTACGAAGGTGTGCAAAATACCTTGGGGAATGCTGTTTTTTTCAAACCTTTTCTTCATGATAATGGTAAATGTTTTTTTACTCATGACTTCGAACAGTCGTTTCATGTGCAAGTCTCGCAGATGATCAAAAAGTATCATCGTCACATGCTCGTTTTCTAGAGTTACCAATGAACAGAAAGGACATTTGTACCATGTAATTTCCTGAATTGCTGGACATTTGTACAAATATGATATAAAATTTTCATAACGTATGATCTCATTGCCTAATTTACACATTACAAGACGTATCGGTTTTGGTTCCGGCATATTCGTATGTATTCTCGTGTAATGCTTTATGTAATCGCCATACGTAGAAAATATCAAATGACATATTTCGCATGCGATCTTCGTAACACAATGCATCATAACAAAATGTCTAGTGATTGACTCTATGTCTCTAAATCCATCTATCTCGCAAATTTTACATGCGAATACGCGCCTTTTCAACGTGTGAAAGCAAGCTGTCCACATGTGGATTTCTAAAAATGTAGCGTCAATGAAATTATAACGACAATCCGGGCAAATGTAAGGTTCCATCTTCATGTGCAAGTTTTGATGCGCGATGAACCGCGACGAAGTGCCCTGATAAGATAGACACACGTGACAAAGATACTTGTAACAATAACAATATAAATCATCATCCCTAGTGAATTTCGAAAATCCAACCACATAAGATTTCGGCTTCATAGGCTTGTGGCATAATGGACACTTCTGATGTAAATCCGTCTTCTTCCACTCATTTAATATCACGTCATCGTTCTGCTTATCTTGCGCTATCTTATCATGTATATTAATACAATCTTCTAATATTAATAGAAGAGTTTTAATAGATTTCAATTTTTCACTGATAAGATTATTCGATAGAAAATTCATAGATTTCTTCATTTCTTCGCTAAGGTCTTGCAAATGATTAATTCGTTCCATCAAGTCGGATTTACTCATGTGATAAAATTCTTCTATCATCTTCTGTCTATACTTTGGTACTTCTTTAGACATGTCAAGAGAAGAGTCTTTTGGAATATGATCTATTATTTTTACGTTCATATAAAGGTCTTCCCCATGTTCCTCTTTAACAAATGATATTATCTCGTGTGAAATATCATTTAATAAAATTAATTGCGGAGGTTCCTTCCGTAATTTTGCTTTCAAAGTTTGCTTAATATGCAACTCGCAGCTTGAACCACTAGATAACTCAGAAGGGGATGGCGATGGCGTTAAAAAAGAAATGTCGTTGTGAGGTGAAGTTACTTGTTCCATACCTATATTTTCGACTTCACCTGAATTAGTAGAAGTTGATATTGAAATATTCGACTTGGATATCAGACATTTTGTGCCTTTTGAAACATTATCTGTAACTAGCAGATTGGACGAATTTCCGGCATTCTTCTTAATACTTTCTTTAATAAGGTACCTTTTTCCGTCTTTAATCAGATATTTACCAGCAACTTGTTTCTTCTGTGGTAATGTCTTGATAGTTGTACTGCTATTAGGTAATATTAGTTTTTTTGGTCTTTTCTCAATCGTAATCACATCTTTATCATGAAAAGTTATACATTTTTGTTCAAAAGCTTTTTTGTTATTTGTAATAAGCTGATCGCTAATAATCAGTGTAGCATCTGCTTTTTTGGAACTTTGGACAGTCAACATCTTGGGATCACAAATTTCTATCAATGTCTGTGGATTGTGCTCTGAATTATCCGAATTCGCTTTATGTAACTTTATTTTTTTAGCAGAAAACGGAACATCGATCTTGATTGAGTTGTCTAGAGTTTTAGTAACATCAGTTTCTATTACAGGCTTACTAATACTATTTCCAACAGTTTTCTTCACAAATGATTGCTTTGCTTTAAGTTGCTTTGAAGAGTCCTTGAGTGATTGTTTGTTCATAGTACTTTTATTTGCAGTTTTTTCACCAACTTTTGCCATAGTTGTATTTTTATAAGACATATCCGTTTCAATAAAACACAAATCATGAAACACTGTTTTCTTTCTTTTACAGTTTGTTCTAGCAGTTGAGTTCAAGTTTGATATATCCTGTCTTGATTTTTTAAGAACAGACATTTGTTTTCCAGATACATAGCTCACTGGTGGTTCTGGTTCAAAACATCTTGAAATGGGACCACAATCTACAAAAGCAATATCAGTTGTCATGCATGGATTATCTTCGTTTTCTGACACATTCTTGTCCAAGATGGCATTAGCAGAATGATTATTCTTATTTTTATTCTTAAAACTGGCATCAATAAATCCCATATGAAGAGAGTTCATATTGGATAAGTCAGAATTAGAATTCTGATCTTCTTCAGACTTTTCAAAAGTCTTAAATAATTGTCGACCCTTATAACCTCTCACAATTTTACTTATCATATTGTCATCATTTATGTTATTATCAATCAATTTCCACCAGTTATTTTCGATCTTGTTCAGCCTTAACCAATCCATGATATGGATACGTGATAGAAATGTATATTCCATAAGTGCTTCACATGCTATCTCCAATTCAGGAGTCCAATCACTATAGCTTAAACCAGCAGGTAGAGGCATTAGCATTACATCAGACACATCTATTGAGCACAAACCATGTAGTTTCATGTGTTCAAAGAGTTGGCACTGATTGTAAAATACTTTTGCAGCTCCCCATTTTCGGACGCGTTGGAAATCAAATCCTCTTGATCGTAAATACAAGCGTTTTTCACTGTCTTTTCCCATGCATATAGAACAGACAGAACCTATTTCGGGTATATGAGAACATACTGTTCTGAAACAACTATGACACCAAATCCCAAATATCCAACTACGTCTCTTACTATGATCTTCTAAGCTGCTTTGAAAGCGAAAACTGCAACCAAAATCATGGAATTTATATAACAGCCAACTTTATATCAAATTTATATAACAAAATGTCGTAATTATGTTAATCATTATAAACTAACCAGTCTTTGCATTGTTCGCACACATATAGTGGTTCAGATTCCACAATTTCCTCACTCAAAGGTACTGGTGATTCTGTTGGCATATAAGGTAAACATTGCCTTCCAAATGCAGCATACTGTACAGATATTTCATATTGTAGTCCCCATCTGTTTTCAATCCTACGATTCTTACGTAATTTTGGTGTAACTATGTAAGGTATCTTCGTATTGGAAATATCCTGAAAATAAATTGTCACTTTTAAGTAAAAGATATATTAAACATTGTTATATTTGTCTAGTTTTTCATACAAATGTTGCATATCATAGTTTAATCAGCACTTTCAGCAATGTTACTATCTACACCAGACGCTAAAAACATTATCTCCCTATACACAAAAAATAAATGTGTCTTTATCTATTATTCAATACAATGAATGCCTAGTACAATTTTTCCCACTTAAAGTTAAAATAATTGCTGCATATGTTTAATACTTCACCATGTACATATCTTGTAACATATTTGTTGTATTACATAAAACTTAATGAACAAATCAACACATTGTTGTCAACTAAAGCACGGCATCTTCAGCCATGACATGCCTTCGACCACCCGTCTCTTAGTCGGTAAAACAGTATGCAACAGAGCTGCTGCTCATAGTGGCAAACTGTTGAAATAGTGTTCAATAATAAATAACAAATATTAAATTATAATATTAAATTATGGTTGGTTATGTTGCATTCAACAGTTTTATCGACATTTAAAAAACGTTATTTACATTTATATTATAACTTAATATGAGCAAAAATAGGTTTAGTACCATTATCATTTCACAGGACTGATGTGATCTGAGGATTCTATGGCTGCAACTATAGTTTGCCTATCATCTCTTTGAAGTGATTAAAGATCTTCCAATAATCCTTAAACTATTCAGAAGGATATTAATTAGATGTTGGTATTTTTCATAATATAAGATATAATAGTTTCATGTATATGTTCTGATAAATCTCAAGAAATATAGCATACATTTATGTGAATATAAAATGTGTTATCTCTAAAATATTTTGTGTATATCTTACATATATAATAAATTTCCATTATAATAAAATTACATATTTTATTTAGTAAACACCAAGTATAATAGTAATAATACATTAATATTATAATTTCCCACGTAACGATGTAAATACAACATGTAGTTACAATGTATATACATGTTATAGTATACTTACATTGTTGAGTGGAAAACTAAAACATTGATATAATCATACTGTTGTTGTTGTTGTTTATTGGGTTATCTATTATATCTATACACGACAACATATTCTTATCTATATTGTCTATTTATAATGTGTACCTTATTCATCTATAATATTTCAGACCATATACATTTACTGCCAGAAAAAGATATCAATGTTAAAATAAATCATATCTGAGGAACAATATATATATACAATACGTACAACTCCTTAATGTTATTCTCTTTACTCTTCGTTGGTTGTAAAGAATGAATCAATGCTTCAATTATAAATTTTAATACTCTGATATCAAGTATGACCTGAAACAAAGCAGATTATGTTTCATATACATTCTATAAGAAAAATATATGTTATAATGTTCAGAAAAATTTCATCACAGAAGCTTGCAATGTGGGTACGCATCAACTATACAATAAATTTTTCTTTGCACATACAATAATTTTTCATTTGCACTTTACACATGTTCTTTGTTAGAAACTTTTTCATAATTTGCAAACAAAAAAAGATGAACCATTATCATAGTAGTGAATAATACCTTTTGCACACAACACTTCTAGAACTTTGCAACTGTGTCTAACCTCACAATAAACTCCGCTAGAGTGCGCTAGTCAAGAAAAAGCACATTTTGTGAAGAAGGGAACATCAAGAGAGGTAGCAAAGCTAAAATATATGTACACAAGATTCCAAATGCTTTTCATTTCCAGTTAGGTTCTAGTTAGGACCTAAACTATCGTATCTACATATTTTTGTATTATGACTGTTGAAGGATTTTGAGGAAAATCAGCAACTCAATCACATTAAATGTAACAATAATTGTACATTCATGCATTGTTGCATTTTGGCTGTGTTCTAATATTCATTGCCATATTGGAAATTTATAGAATATGTGACATTGGATGCGTTCAGCGAACTCAACAGTTGCACAACCTTGAGCAATTCGTTAATATAATTGGTCTAGATTTAGAGATCTAACAGTAAGAACCAATAATTGTTGATTGCTCACTGAGTGCTTTTTCAGCTGAACGCGCCCAATAATTATATATTTTCATAGTACTGGCAGTGAGTATTGATGCACCTTCTCTCATAGCACAAGATCTTGAAGGGATATCTTGAGAACTTGTGTGGACATTTACCTTTATAGAAATATCATACTAAGAATCATTGATAATTACTTATTTTCAGTATTAAAAATACTGGATAATAAGTAATTATCAATGATTCTTAGTATGATATTTCTATAAGGGTAGAGCCTTTGCATATCCGTAATTTAAGTTTACGGATTTCTTTGTGCGTTGACTTAAGTTTAATTTTACGTACAGATATAACCATTGCATTGTCAATACTTAACGTAACGTAACATGTTATGAATGTGCTTGTGCGTTGACTCTTAGAAATCTTCGGAATATTTTTGGGGTATTCTGAGGATTTATGCGGATATTCAGCAATCTTCTGGATGTCTTTGGACATTTTTTAAATCTTATATTATGTGGATTTAATGTGGCTGAGCCGATTCTTCTCAAAATCAACAGTGATAATACAAAAATATGTTGTAAATATAATGCGTCCAAACCAAGATATTCTAACAGGAAATGGAATACATTATTCACGAGTCCTGTGCATATATATATATATATATATATATATATATATATCCCATATAGCACAGATCTTGCAGCAACTTTGCAACAATATTGCGGCAACACTGCCGCAACTTTTAACATTGCTGCAACGTTGCAGTAATATTGCTGCAAGATCTGCCCAGGTAGCAAGGTTAGCATAGGACGTTTAAAGACGTCATTAAAACGTCATAGACGTCTTAATAACGTCTTAATGACATCTTTAGACGTCACTTTGCTACCTGGGTGTGCTGTATGGGTATATATATTTATGCTACTTTCCTGATACATTTAATATGAAAGAAATAGACATTTAATATAAAGAAATAATATCTATTATATCTTAAGTAAAGAAATTGATTATGGCATTTGTAGATATGTATAATAATCTAGATACAATTAAATTTGATCTCGCGCGCGCGCACGCGCGCGTAGAACACTTGTGTAATATTATTTTATCTAGTATATACACGATACACAAATCATATAATATAATAAAAGTGTCCAATATAAATTAATATAATAAATATTATTATATGTTGAACATACAATAAACAAATTGCATAAATGTTTTTTTAACATTTTGACATTAGCATGTATATAAAACATTAATAAAGTAGTAGTTCATTATTTAGAAAAATATTGAAACGATTTTTGTATCTGTTTGCTTATTCCACTTTTATAAACATTGTATAAGTAGTTACTCAAATGTAATTCCAAAGTCTCTGTTATGGCTCCTGCACACAGGACGCAGTAATGCTTGCCGCGCGGAAGCCAATCAATATGTTTTTTTTCCGTAAGAGCTGGAAGGTTATTACGGAAAGCAGCATATTGATTGGCTGTCGCGTGAACTTCTGCCGCGCGGCAAGCATTACCGCGTCCTGTGTGCAGGAGCCATTATGCGTCGCCACTGTTTAAGTAAACCATCGTAGTACGACTCAACGACTGAGCAAACAAACTTATTCTTCGATAATATAACTGTACAGATTAGAAATTTTTTCTTCTTTTTAACAATGAGAAGAGAAAACCTTTGACATGACACGAATTATATTACTGAAAAAAATGAGAAAATCTCTGATTAAGACAGACTTAAAAATAATTCAAGTAAAATATGCGTGCAGTACATACGTATATACAGGAATTAAATTTTCAGTAAAGTTCACTAATGAAATTTAATAATGAAGCATAGATTTCGAGAAATTACGATTTAGGAATTTATTAAGTGCGTAAATATCGAGAAAATGATCGAACTTTTGACGAAAAAAGAATCGAATATCGATTTATCGTTCGTACGCCGATCATTGCTAGCTAGGAGCAAAGAAAAGCCTGAAGGTGCAAACCATGGATGTAGGAATATCTGGACGGAATGTATTTCGTGAGGAGTGAACTCACATGGGTGAGAGGAATGAAAGTCGGAAGTGATCACCAAACATGGCGGCGGCCTATATCACGGAGCACAATAGCTGCGTTCGGCATTGTAAATCGAAGACGTCGGATTGCTCTTTTACCTCGAAAATGCACAGAAATGTGAGAGATATGAGATCTCGTATCTTTTTCATTTCCATGCATCTTCGAGATGAAAGAGCAATCCGACGTCTTCGATTTACAGTGACGAACGTAGCTATTGTTTGAACAGTGGTACTCAATCGACCCATTTCAAAAAATTCCCTAGCTTAATCAGATTTTAGTAAAAGCTGTCCGTAAAATAATCCGATTACTGCTGAGACAGCTTTTACTAAAATCTGATTAAGCTAGGGAATTTTTTGAAATGGTTCGATTGAGTACCACTGTTCAATCGGATTTCCAATCCGACAACTTATCGTAAACATCCATATAGTCCTATCCATAAGGCCCTTTCACCACAAAGATTAAAATCCTCGACCTATGTATATACATATGTCATATATATATGTCACTTTTGATCACCAAAGATGAACGCGACGAAGATTTTCCTCCACCTCACTGACTTCACACTCCGCGCCAATAAAAATACTTTACGCTCCGTCCAGATATTCTTACGTCCATGGTGCAAACCTATGCAGCGGAATATCGGAATAGCGGAATAAGAACGGAACCAATCACGAGCGTTTTTCAGCAGTTTTTAGCGGAATCTGCGGAATAGTTTTGATTGCGTAATATATGCATACTTCTACCATACAATAGACGTGAGCCCATCAAACCTCAAATTAAGAAGAACAAACAATCCAGCTGGCCAAGTTTATTAATATTCAGCACAACATAACCGCTATGCTATGAATTTAACAATGGATGCGTAATATATATGTACAAATCCGTCATTTTTAGCATTAAAACAGGAGCTCTTAAGTCTCCATGGAGCAAAATAAGCACATCGCGGATTTTGCTCAACCAATCGCGAGTCATTATTTAAAAAAGTTATAATCGCCTTAAAATTTATTTTATAGATTTTAACATTTTCAGTCAATATTTCCAATATAAAACACATTAATTAAATATTTACATATATATACATAATAATAAAAACGAATGATAAAACATTAATTTAAAAGTTAGTTTAGTTACGTGCTACTCATGCCGCTTACACTCATTTCGCTCCATAGGTATTTAAGGATTGAAAATCCGTGCAACGAAAACTACGGAACGCTCGTGATTGTTTCCGCTCTCGTTCCACACTTCGCTATTCTGCTGCATGAATTCGCACCCTCAGGTTTCTCTCTGCTGGGATAAAGTTATATTTCAGTGCAGTAATTCCAGATAAGCCTGCTTTTTCGCGCATGCGCGACGAAAATAGCTTCACTGAAATACATAATATTCTAAAAAGAGAGTGCTGTTGAGCCAAATTATGATTGCTCATAAAAAAAGAATAACATATATTGAATTTAATTTATAAAATTATATATAGAATTTAATGTATAAAATTATATGTACTTCACTGAAGCTGTTTTCGTCGCGCATGCGTGGAAAAGCGGGCTTATCTGGGATCACTGCTTCAGTAGTTCCTTCGTTTGTTGGTAACGTTGGTTGCGCAACTGTAAAGATGCCGTTTTATCAATTTAATTCGTTCACTGGTAGTTTAAAGCCGTCTACTAATTTTCAACCATTCTTTCCTATTGTAAGTAAAAATACACGTAGTTGATTGCATACAAACAATACAAGGATCATGTCAAATCTAGCATGTTTCCACTCGAGTATACCACCGATCAATAGACTACGGACTACGTGCTTCGTATTTTGTTTCATATAACATCTTTGAGTGTCGAATTGTTCCCATGAAATCACATGTTCAGCTGTTTTTCTCTCAAACTGTGTTAGCATTGATTGTCAGTTGTCTGTCATCAAATCTGTGATATATATGTATGTATGTATATATTCAGAGCTATGTTCAACTATGGATATGCCCTTGTGTTCATGTAACAGCTTTAAATCTGATCTTGCACTTATGCAATGTGTTATAACAGTAATTAATACAATGAAGGAATTATAATCATTAATGCTTTAGAACAAGAATGATCAGTATTATGTTGTAATTTAAGATCCATGCTGCGTAGATATTATTTTTGTTTAGATATAAGGAATGATTATTGCAGCCTTTTAATATATACATGCTTTTGTTGAATACATAAGCAAAAACTTTGGTATTGTTTCAGTCTCCTCTTCCTTTACAGAAGACAGAACGAGTAATGATTTATGATACCGTCAAAACCAAACCAGCAGTTGTCACATCTACAGCTGGTTATTGCACTAACAAACCACGTACTTTGGATCCAAAAATGTGGGCAAAATACAAGCATTTCCAGGCAAGTATATCATATATTACTAGCAGTTAAATTACTAATGTATTGTAATATGTAATTGTCAAAAGGCTAGCAGTTTTTATTGTTCACAGGCTAATTTGGACAAGCCAGTCTATTTAATGGGTGGCAAAAAGGATAAGATATTGTTTGGGTTCACTGTTGCATATGTTGGACTTTGTACAATGCAATCATTCTATTTCTTGATTAAAGAGGGTTACTTGGGAAGCTAATAAGAACATGTATAGATAATAAGATAGTCTTTTCTGGTATAACAATTATGTATATTAACAGCACAAGTAATGCTGGAACAATGTAATGAGTTACATCAAATTAAAAATCTGTCTCAATTAATAACCTATCTCTGTCAGCATTCATGACCAATTTTAATTTCTTTTTCTTTTGTACTCATCTATCCTCAGGATCTAGAATTTAACTTTTCTTTCAGGATTGACTTTATTATCTAATTAAGACAATGAGACACATGAATCAAGTGTAGACCAGTTTCATCATTTGCTATTTAATATGTAAGAAGTACAACTTCTGTAAAATCAACAGTTTACTTTAGCTTCTTCTTTGGACGAATGTTATTTGTATGTCCACATTTCTTTTTTCGACAATTAGTTGCACGTGGATGAAGACGAGCATAACACTTGCGGCAGATCATCTTGTCACAGTTATACTTTTGTGCAAGTATACGCAGTGTTGGTTCAATTACACCTCCTCGAAGACGAAGTACGAGATGAAGAGTGGACTCTATGAAAGAATTGTCAGCATATTATAATTTGTCTCATCTATTTTGCAGTATTTTCAGATAACTGTTAGTTTATGTGGTTAGTTGTATTTATGGTTCTATAAGTTTTTCCAGTTACACATTTATACCTTTTTGGATATTATAATCAGAGAGAGTACGTCCATCTTCAAGTTGCTTGCCAGCAAAAATGAGTCGCTGTTGATCAGGTGGAATGCCTTCCTTGTCTTGGATCTTGGCTTTTACATTTTCAATAGTATCAGAGGCTTCCACCTCAAGGGTTATAGTCTTACCCGTGAGAGTTTTCACGAAAATCTGCATGATGGCTTACCTAAATTATAAGGATTATGTATTATAAGGATTATTATTGTGATCATCACAATAAAAGTAACACAGAGCAACCTTTTTTGAAAAAAACTATCTTAAAATACCATCTAAATTATATAATAGAAATTATATTGTTGACTTGCAATTGCTATAGGAATGCAAGAATAAACACTAAAAATTTAGAGTAATGCAGAAAATCTTAATATCAACACATCATACACACATAATGCGCATAATGGCAACATATTGCGATGCATTTGTTTCTTATGTCATATTTTTTTCAAGATTTGTAATTTATATAAAGAATATGTCTTTATCAAAATTATGACAAAGAGTTTGATAATATAAATGGAAATATATCTAATATATCTAATAACTTCGCATACTTATTCTGCCAACTGTGGTGACGATTGATACTCGACTTAACCTAACAAATTCAGTAATGATCCGTCAGTTTCGTAACCTTTCGTTGGTATACGACTCGTGTGACATCTTGTGTAAACCACATGAAGATGTGGTATATGAAGATGCATTGTTTGTACTTTTTAAACGAATTGGAGGTTACATGCGGGTGCTGCATTGATTGGTTGACACTTCGAGAAACTTAATCGTTGCGATATGTATATATGTTCAGCTCGAAAATGAATTGCGACGTCGAAATCCAGACTCGAGAAGCTGCTCCGTATTTTCTGCGTTTTCGGCTCGCTGAGGACGAGTTTCGTGCGCGAATCGTTGTCGGAAGTGCCGAAGGTAAGTTTCAGACGTTTGTCGTGATGAAGTATTGTTGAATAGCCACCGATACTCGCGGAACGGTGTTACGTCGGTGTTACGGTACGACTGTAGTATCGTGCATTCTTCATACAATGGCAGTTGCAAGTTCAAACGGTTGCCTTTCACGCCTTCGAATCCTGGGAGTAGAGTCTCGTATGAGATATACTGTCGAGAATGCCAAAAGTAAGTTTCGTGCGTTTATCGTGGCAAAATATCATTGAATAGCTATCGAAAGTAAACACCTCGCAAGACAGGCCGTCGAGTCAGGTCTGTCGGGCGTTCATTGGGCGATTTTTGGCGATCGTTTGATACATGTACCTGGTTGTCATTGGCTTAATTTACATCAAACGTTTAATATATGTACTAAATATCTGTATAGTATAAATGTCCAAAATACAATTCTAGAGACGTCGCAGAGATATCTGGATATCCCTGGAAGATATTTTGGACATTTGTGTTTGGACATTTGCATTCGAATTGCTTCCTTGTGTTCGCGTAGTCGTTGCGCGGAATTTTTACTGTCCTTCATATTTTCGATCCGCTGAAGGAAAACATGATAAGTATTGGTAACGATAGTATTATAAATAGTGTACCAGCATGATTTTTCATCTTTCAAATTGTATAGTTAGTTAATTTCTGATGCGATATTAGGTTTGTTTTTTACTCCTGCATTGCTGACTGGTGCAATAAGTTAGAGTGAGAAAAAATATACTTTTCTCACTCTAACTTATTGCACCAGTTTAGCAGTGTAGGAACAGAAAACAGATCCATTATAAGTTAATATGCGATATTATGGATTAATTCTTCATTTATATCGGTCGAAACAGTCGGTAATGTCAATATTTTTCAATTATATATATACTTTCGGGTCCCATATTATGATATTTTATCTAGATATACACACATACGATGATATTTCTTAATATCTCATAGGTATTGAAAAGTAAGGCAAAGATATAAATGTCTGGATACGTACTCAATCCTGGATATTCTTATTTTGATATTTGATTTTGGTCTTTAAATATATCAATATTTAAAATTTTATATTTTATATTTTATAATTTAATATTTTATATGTATGTAGTAATTGTTTATTGTATTTAATCAGTAAAATCAACTATTTCTTTAAAACTATTGTTATATATGATATAGAACTCTAG